TCTGTACTGGAGCAGAGAGTTTCGTCTTTCTCCCATGGGGGTAATGGAGTAATTGATAAATTATTTGAGAAGACCTCCTGGGTAGGTTAATGACAAGGAAAACAAATTTGTAAAAGGGAGGGTGACATGCAAAAATAACCTGCATAAAAACAGATTGGGGCTCTTAGGCTTCCTTTTAATACTTTCAATATAGAATGCTAAATAAATATATGAATAAATGTTTTGAACACAAAAAGTGAACTGGTCTTGGAACAGAGGGATAAGAACAATCCTAAGAGATTTTTCCTTGTTAACTACCTAAAGATTTTATAGAGTCAAGTTCTACAATTTTTATTGTGAAATTATTGTGAGAAATGTCTTTAACATTTTATCTCTTCCAGTGATATTCCCTATAAATCATTGCAAAAGTATATATTTTATATCTTAGATTTGGCTAATTGGACTTGGAAGAGTTGATTAGTTGTTTGATGTGTGTTCTCATGTTGTTGTTAAGTGCTGTCGAGTTGTTTCCGACCCATAGTGACCCTGTATAGGGTTTCTGAAGAGCAGCTGGTGAGCTTGAACCCCCAACCTTGCAGTTTATGTGTTCTCATATACACATTTCCTTTCCTTTTCATTAACTTCAAATTATTTTGAATGTAAAGCTATGACATAATTGAATATATGATACAGCCTTTAGTAACAACGTGTCATGAGCAGAACACAAGAAAGATTTACTCATTTTGTCAAGCAAAAAGTATTTTAGAACCGTAACATGTTCCTTCAAAAGGGTGGAGTTAAGTATAAATGATATGCATATGCTTAATGTATGCATTAAATCCAGGAAAAGCAAACAGAAAACTATATAACCCTCACAATTTCCCATTATTTATATTGTTATTATGAAAACTGATAATTAAATGTCATGAATCCTGGTTTTGTTAAGTACAAATTATCATAAACTAGTCTAAATACATGAAGATATATAGTATGTTGGCATTCTCTCAGAAATATAATACAGCTTCTCTCCCCCCACCCCCACACACACCTTTTATTGCATAAAAAAAGTCAAGTTGAGTAAATCATTTCAGGATGAAAGTGAGGCAGGGGAACTCAGAAGACTAGAGGGTTAGCTCATCTGGCAGGATAAGTTAGGTCATGGGTTTATCCGACCATAACTCAAGTTCTACGTTCGCCAAGTCTGGAAGTTATGGTCATATCGAAATTCATTGCCAAAATGTCTTTTATCATGAGTTGGAACTCCATATTTCTGCAGCTAGCTAACCTTTACTTGGCTAGTCTGAATTATTCAGGGTATTTAAAAATAATATCACAATTGTCTTTAATTTCCTGGCCTCTTCACTATATAAGAATAGCTATATATATCGGCATTGGATTGTGAACCACAAGGTTGGCAGTTCAAACACACCAGCTGCTCCTCAGAAACCGTACACCAGGTCACCATGAGTCTGAATGGACTTGATGTTTCTGTTATGTAGGAAAATCCATTTACATTGTTCCTTTGACAATAACTTTATGAACAAATAGAATGCTTTTAAAGCATAAAGATATATTAGAAATAATTAAGAGTTTGGCAAAGAAATTGAAGGAACAGTATAAAGGTTTATCTTTCAACTGTAGGTTGTAATCCTCTGATTGAATTTAGAGATTCTTTAACAGAATTTTAAGAATGAACTAGAGTAGAATAGCTTAGAAAATATATGGGAAGTTATATAACCTACCAGTTGCTGGTACCCGGTTAAACCACTCACAGCAAGTTGATTCTAACTCATAGCAACACTTTATAAGGTTTCCAAGACTGTAAAGTTTTATGGGAGCCATTGCTTGTTAAGTGCTTGTTGAGTTGATTCCCATTCAGAGTGACCTGCATAGGGTTTCTAAGAGCAGCTTGTTAGTTTGAACCACCTACTTTGCAGTTAGCAGGCCAGTGCTTGTCTTATAGTGCCACACCAGTTGTTGTTAAGTTACATCCAGTCGGTTCTTACTCATAGCAAAGCTGTATGGGGTTTCCAAGCAGACTGCTTAGCTTGGACCGCTGGCCTTGCAGTTCCGTGCATTAACCTGCAGCACCACACCAGTACTCTACCATACCACACCACACCAGTACTCTACCATACCACACCACACCAGTACTCTACCATACCACACCACACCAGTACTCTACCATACCACACCACACCAGTTAGTTGCCTTCACATCAATTCTGACTCATGGTGACTGAGTGTGTTCAGATTAGAAGTACTTCATAGGACTTTCAAGGCTGTGACCATTTGGAAGCCTATATTACCAGGCCTGTTTTCCAAGGCACCTCTTGATGGGTTCGAATCCCCGACCTTTGGGCTGCTGGTCAAGGCCTTAACTGTTTTGGCCACCCAGAGACTTATGCAATGGAAACTACCTGTGTGTGTACTAGGTTAAGAAGTTTGCTGATTGCTTTGGGTTTCCTACTCTCTACTGATCTTTCTATTGGCATGAACAAATATAGTCTGTAAAACCACTGGTATAAAGAGCCAACTGTCTTGTTGGCTATAAAACATTAAGAAATTAATTTTTATAAGGCTTTTTCTCTTCTGGTAAATCCCAAACCCACTGCCATTGAATTGATTTTGACAATATAGGGTGTCCAAAACTGTAAATCTTTATGAGATCAGACAGACTGATCTTCCTCCTGAGAAACCACTGGTGAGTTTAAACTACCGACCTTGTGGTTAGCAATCCAGTGCTTATCCTACAGAGCCACCATTGCTCCTTATTTTACAGGGTTAATGTGAAAATTAAGTTAAATGATAGGTCTTAAAACACCTAGCATGCTTCATGACAAATATTAGAAAACAAATGGTGTTTTTTTATTAGCAGTACATTGCCAATGCTAACATTGATTTTTGACATTTCATAATGCATTGAACTATATGCATACGAATCTTGAGATCTATGCAGGAGATCACAGGCTGTTGTTGTTAAATGCCTTTGAGTCACTTCTGACATATAGTGACCAGGTATAAGGGTTTCCAAGGCTTTGAATCTTTGCAGGAATCAAAATTATACATAGAAAAAAGATAGGGTTTTAAAGGCAGTCTGGCAGAGATAGTGAATGAAAGGCTCTTTGTATCATGTTTGACTGGAATTATTTCCTCCTTTTCAGTAGCTTCTGAAATGATTGTAGTTGTTAAGTGCCATTGAATTGGTTCTGACTCATACTGACCCTACACAGGGTTTCCAAAGAGCGCTTGGTAGATTTGAACCATGGATCTTGCAGTTCAACTGACCATTCAGCCCAGTGCTTATCCTACAGCGCCACACCTGGAACGATTAGGAATTGCTTAACCATTCAGTCTTAAGGCATCTCATCCAAACACCTCTTTTATTGCCAAGTATACACTGTAAGATCAGTGTTGAACTGCAAACCACAATGTTGGCAGTTCAAAAGTACCAGCTGCTCCTCAGAAACCCTATACAGGGTCACTATGAGCTGGAACCAACTTGACAGCACTTAACAACAACAACAACATACTTCATTGCTTAATTGGAATTTACTTTTTAACCTTTCATGTATAAATTAGCTGGTTTCAGATGTTTCTCTATAAAATGGAACTAACAATTTATTGTGCACAAATTTCAGTTAAATTATCACCAGCCTGTTAATAATCCACAATAGTAAATGACTAGTATTCAAGCCCTCCACCCTTGTTTTGGAAGATGCACAGTTACTGAGATTTAGAAAAAATGTGAGGGGCATATTAAAACCAAGCTACAACAATTTACTTTTAACTCTCTAATTCCAAATCTTTGTTTATATTTTCTCCTTTGCTCCTTGGAAAATTCCTTGATGGCAGAAAAGATAATTCCTTATTCACAGCACTGTCAAATAATCTGGCATAAATAAATGATTGTATGAATCAAAGGGTCCTGATGATCACTATATAAATCATATTATAACACTCACATTTCTTATATAGTTTTCCCGGAAACACTAAATTTGATTCTTTTGAGCTGATTTATAGCTGCACTGCCAAGAGCAGAGATAGGTAGAATATGAAAGTGGCTCTTTCTTTGTTCAGTCATGTCTACCAACTCAACCTGGCAGTAAGCCTTTGCCCCTAACACTTTCCAATGGACAGGTAGGGCAGTCCTAAAAAATCTCTTCCTTATGTACAACAATCATAGAGTACTTCTGACTCTGATACTCTGGAGTTTTAAAATAATTCTGTTATTCATTCCGCTGGAAATATATGCTATCTTTATTAGGTGTGAAGTGCCTGGGTGGCACACATGGGTTAAGTGCACAACCACTAACCAGCTTTCAACTCAATCAGTTGGCTCAGAAGAAACGCCTGGAATCTGCTTCCTTGAAAACTCTGCATGCCTCAAGTTTCTATGAATTGGTGTCAGCAGCAAAATTTGGACTTTTATTTCGGTTATTAGCTGTCCTTCAGTTGGCCTGTGACTCATGATGACCCAGTGTACCACAGAACCTAACATCTTGCACCGTCCTCATGATCAGTTGGGAACAGGACTATGGTTATGCAGAGGTTTAAATAGACTGGGTTTTGCAAGTCGATTGTCAGTTTTTTTTTCTAGTTTATGTTTACCTGAAAGCCCCATGGGAACATTTTCAACAGGACAGAAGGGAGACAATTGGCTGCTGTTGAGATGCACCGAACCTGGGTATCTGGAATGACAGGCAGGAACTCTAGTACCGAACCACCCACCGTTGCCCCAATAGGAAAGAAGTATGTTGTTGTTAAGTGCTGTTGAGTCAGTTCCGAACTGTGGTGCCTCTGTATAGGGTTTCCAAGGAGCATCTGGTGTGCTTGAACTGTCAATATTGCAGTTCAAACTGACTTTATAGTCCAGTGCATTAGCCCATAGTGCCATACCAGGACTCCAGGAAGTGTGTAGTGCTCTGCATAGTCTAGGAATATTCTTTTATTTTCATATTGGTATTATGTGTGAGTGCACTGTGAATATTTTGAAAATATAATCCAAATTCTATTTTCCAGGTTTGAGAATGAATAAAGGAGCTATCACTCCTCCCCGGACTTCTCCTGCAAATACGTGTTCCCCAGAAGTAATCCATTTGAAGGATATTGTCTGCTACCTATCTCTCCTCGAAAGAGGAAGGCCTGAGGATAAACTTGAGTGTATGTGTTTTGTTTTTCTAAACTTAATTTTATTTACTATAGAGTAGGACAGAAGTAGAGACTGAATATTGATGAACTTAAAATTGTATCTACTACTGTTATCTACTGTTCAGATTTTGTGTCTCATACTGTGGACAAAGATATCATGTTTGGTAAAGTGTAGTGTCGGAGAAGAGAAAGACATCCAACAAGATGGATAGGCACAGTGTCAGCAACAATGGGCTTGAGCATATCAATGATTGTGAAAATGGTGCAGGGTCGGGCAGAGCTTAGTTACGTTGTGCGCAGGGTCACTATGAATCAGTGTAGTGGTTACGAATCGGGCTGCGGACCTCACGGACAGCAGTTCGAAATTACCAGCTGTTCCGTGGGAGAAAGATGAGGCTTTCTGCTCCCATAAAGATTTACAGCCTCGGAAACCCTATACAGGGTCTCTATGAGTCGGAACCGACTCCATGGCACTTCACAACAAGAACAACAAGAATTATCCAAAAAGTTTTTTAGGTTAAGTAAAGGAGTTCTGGCGTGGTGCTACCGGTTAATGCGCTGGACTGCAAGGTTGGCAGTTCAGGCTCACCAGCCGCGCCTTGAAAACCGTATGTAGGTTCACTATGAGTCAGAACTGACTCGACAGCACTTGACAACTACAACAATTTATTACCAAATACTTTGCATGATTTCTTTTTTTTTAATTTTTTAAAATATGTCTCAGTTCTATGGTAGCAAGTTAGGATTTGAGTTGTTTTGAAAACACTTATTTCTAATTTGTAAAGAGACGTTTCCATTAATCTCAGCAATATGCACCCCTTTGAGCCTGATGAGTCACAAAATCCCTCCTGAGCCTGCCTTCTTTGGGAATCTCTCTAGAAACCTTTAACAATAAAAGTTAAATAATAAATAAATAAATAAATTTTCCCCCAGGGACAAATTAATTATGAAATACCAAATGTGAGAGTTTCTTTGTAGGATTTGACTATGCATTTTATAAATGCTTAGACAATAGATATGTTTGTTTCTTCTGTAGTGTGGCAGGTATTTCAGATAAGTAAAGATTTTCTATCTAGTGGAAGTAAATAATGACTCTTTAGTAAAATATAGTGACTGAGCTCCCTCTAGTGGCAAGATGAACTCATTGCAATGAAATTTAAAAACATTCAAACATTTACTTTAAGCCTGATAATTTGATGATATAGGAGAAGCGTTGTTGACGGCTGTTCAAACCCACCATCTGCCCCTCAAAAACCCTATACAGGGTCGTTATGAGTCAACATCGTCTTGATGGTACTTGGCTCTAAAGCCCTTTCTAAACACAGAGCTGTGAATGCATGTAACAATCGGTTAACTTGATTATAATGGATATCATTAACATGAATTCATTTTGGTACTGAAAGGACAATGAAGATTGTTAATCCTCACTTTGGTATTTATAAAACTAAGATTAAACTTTGCTACATCTCAATTATGATTCGGAAGTATGTTTAGTTAAATTCAATACTAACCTATTGTTAATATTTCTTCTACTAATAAAGAATTTATCATCATTTGGATATAATTATTTAAGTTACAGCTGCTTAGATTATGAATCAGCCATACTAACATCATTCTTTAAATATATATTTATCATTATTCAGAAATGTTGAATATTTGCATTTCAAGATGCATTCCTAAGAACCTACAGAACTCTCTCATTCCAAAATAAATATTAATGTTCAGTGAACTCCGATTGAAGTGACAGCCAGAAAGTTAGTTTGCTCAGGTGTTATCAGGACCATGTTTGGAATGATTTTGCAACACCAAAATGGTCTTTGGTGTTTCCGTTTAATTATTTTTAGGTCAACTGAAAGTATATTATTTTTAAGGTGGAATTCCTGAGAACCACGCTTGTGAGTTTTCAAAGTGTATTCATGAGTTAACATGGTCTTGGTACCCAATTGCAGGCACAATGTTAGCCTACACATTCAGTAGCATGTGAATAATCAAGTAAAAATTGACCTTTTATTCACCTTCCTTCAGTGGAATTTATCCCCTTCTCTGTGTTCCCTCCGTCTTTGGGCTTCCCAGCCCTTTTTCTGGCTTACACCACATTCAATTGTGTTTTCCTCCTTTCTTAATAATTCCTTCAGAATCTTCTTACAGCAAGACTTGTTTGGTTTGGCATGCCTATGATTTTACCAGTCTTTAAAGTAACTGAATTTGAAATTACTATGTTATATGTATGTTCATGCTCTCTCCTCTGTTAGCTTCTAATTCAGTGTTCTAAAACCTGGCTGGGCATCAAAATCATAAGCCTGTCTCTTATCAATTACATCAGATTCTATCACTTTCTTTCTTATCAATTAGCCATATGAATGGGCTTCAAAAAGTTCATGGAAAATGAAATAGGAAGATTTTGGAATTTGTTCAGAAACTTTTTGTAGCCACCTTGGACTTCTTTACCCTTCTACAATTGTACATGTACAGATTCCAACCATTCATTTTTTTTTCATAGGTTGCAGATATTACACATCTCATTAAGATATAAAGAACATGTGATATTTGTTTTTGTTGCTGTGTGTTACTGTATATATTCTTACTTAGAGTTACCCTGCAGAACAGGGCAGAATTGTCAAATAGGGTTGCCTAGGCTGTAGTCTTTCTACCACAGAGCTGCTGGTAAATTCAAAGTGCCAACCTTTAGATTAGCAACCAAGCACTTAATCATTGTGCCACCAGGACTCCATAAAGAACATTTAATGGTGGTTCATTTTTATATACTGACTTTAAAGAATATGATTTCTTAAACATGACATAAACCAGAAGAAAGTATTAAAAAGCATTTAAGACACAAAAGTTGTTGTGATCAATTAGTATCCTAGGTTAGGTTTTATTGGTGAATGGTGAATTAGGGTCTTAGTTTCCAGGGAGCTAGACAGGAAACCCAATACAGGGACACTATGGATCAAAACTGATTAGACAACACTTAATAACAACAACAAAGCAGGATTGTATTATTTCATCATATTTATTCAATCCATATGCTGAGTACATAATCCCAGAAACTGGATTATATGAAGAAGAGCGTGGCATCAGGATTGGAGGAATACTCATTAGCAACCTGCAATATACAGATGATGCAACCTTGCTTGCTAAAAGTGAAGAGAACTTAAAATACTTATTGATGAAGATCAAAGGCCATACATAGCCTTCGGTATGGGTTGCATCTCAATATAAAGAAAACAAAAATTCTCACCACTGGACCAATAAATAACACCAAGAAGTTGTCAAAATTTTCATTTTGCTTAGATCAACCATCAATACTCATGAAAGCAGCTGTCAAGAAATCAAATGTTGTATTGTGATAGGCACATCTGCTGCACAAAACCTCATTGAAGTGTTGAAGAGCAAAGATGTCAGTTTGAGAACTAAAGTAGGCCTGACCCATACCATGATATTTTTAATAGCTTCATTTGCATGTGAAATTTGGACATTAAATAAGGAAAACCATAGAATTGATGCATTTGAATTATGGTATTGAAGGCAAATATTAAAAGTACCGTGGACTGCCAAAAAAACAAACAAATTCTGTGTTGGAAGAAGTTACAGCCAGAATGCTCCTTAAAATTCAGGATGCCCAGACTTTGTCTCTCATACTTTGGACATATTATCAGGAGGTACCAGACCCTGGAGAAGAACATCATGCTTGGTAAAGTGGAGGGTCGGCAACAAAGAGGAAGATCCCCAACAAGATGGATTGGCACAGTGGTCTAAAGCATAGTAATGATTATGAGATTAGCATAGGACCTCGTAGTGAGTGTATCATTCTGTTTGTATAAGGTTGTTATGAGTAGGTACCGATTTAACAGCAGCTAATAACAAAAAGCATTTTCCCCAAGTAAAGCTTTCTGAATTTCTTTAGTGTTTCCCCTGCCAGTTTTGATTTCCATCCTGTCTTTTCTGCCAGATCTTTCCATATGTTTACTATAAAACGTATTTTAGAGAAGATTTCCATGGAATATAAACTGTTTCCTCAATTTCCTTTCCTTAACCCAAACTGGATTCCTTTTTGAGTAACTTGCCTGCTCTGTCAGATAAACAGTGTTTATTCTCCTGCTGCAATATACCATTTGTTAGTTTGTTGTACTTGCGTGTTGCTGTGTGCCGAATGCTATAAACTATGCCACAGGTATTGTAAATATCAGTAGAGTACGCCCATGGTAGATAGGAGTCAGCTGAGCTTCCAGATTAAGACTCGGAAGAAGGAGAGGTGGACTTCTTTCAAATGTTTAGCCAATGAAACCTTGTAAATAGCAGTGTAACACTGTCAAATAACACTCAGATATCATTGGAAACTGTATATGCTTATATTTGTGCTATGTGTGTGTCTTTCTGTGTGTGATAGGGGTGCAGGGAGATTACATTTTTCTCTCTCTTTGTTATTACCAATTACCAATCATCCTGGTACTTGGACATGGTGCCAGGGCTGATAATCACTCTCCACCTTAAGCCCACAATTTCTTCATAATAATTGCAGTACATATTTTTCTCTTTTAGTCTCTTTGCATTCCTCAAATTCCATGACCTCAACAGCATTTTATTTAATCTATGCACTTGTGTTGCAATAGTCTAAACCTTGAATTTTCTTGGAATCACTCTTACATTAAAACTTTAAAAGCTAGCATTTTACTTTGACCACAGTATGTGTTCATTTACCTTTTCACTCTCTGACTTTTAATTTAAACACAGCATAGCAAAGTACTTAGGAGCCTGAACATTTTATTGACACTAATTGAATGCAAAAGCTGTTTAGATTTGCACTAATTGAATGCAAGCCGTAGCAAAAGAAGTTTTAGCACTTAGAAACTGAATTGACCTTGGGTACATTTAAAAGACTTCAGGCCTTTGTTTCCTTAACTGTATAGTTATTGTTGTTAAGTTCCGCGGAGTTGATTGATTCTGACCCACAGCAACCCTGTATAGGGTTTCTGAGGAGCAGCTGGTGAGCTTGAACTACCGACCTTGCA